AGCCAATCGTGGTACTTAGGGGTAGGTGAGTCCTCTAAGCCACCGATCGAACGTACCAGGTCCGATCAAGTTGTGATATATATATGTAGAAAGGGGTTTCACCTCGGATCCGATCTCTTGCATGTTGATAGCGAAGGTGAGCCGTTCAGCGTATTCGTCCCAATCTCGTTGATCCAGATCCTGCACATACATCTTAAGAGCCCTGGTAGTTGTCTGGACCATACGCCCTGCGGATCCATTAGCTTGGGGTCGATAAGCTATAGTAGCACGTTGACGTTGACCCAAGATCTTGTTGAAGGACTTAAAGAAGTCAGACATAAAACCTGGCTCCCGATCATGCCGGATCACCTTGCTCGCACCAAATCTGCGGAAGACACATTCTTCGTAGGTATCAGCGATTGTTTGGCCGGATCTGGAGGCACTGGCTTTGGCGATGACCTATCCCGAGAATAGATCCACGAAGATCAATAACTCGGTGTTGCCATTGAAGGATCTAGGCAACGAATGTATGTGATCCATGGCAATGATCTGTACTGTCGTTGCAGAGCAGCACTTGCTAAGTTGTCAGCACTCCCATTCCAATCTCATTTAACATGCAACAGCTCGTGATCCGGCCAAGTATTGTGTCGATCCAGAGCCCGCTGGCGCAACAATGTCAAACCCGGTGCCTTACAATCGATCTCACCTCGTACTTGTTGGATCACCAGGTTCGAGTCTCCACAGATCACCAGACGTCGTGGATTGAGATCTTCTAACCGATCCAAACATAGCAACAGCCCATGATATTCCGCCTCGTTCACCGTCAAGCCCTCGGCGTATCCTGATCAAGCCTTTAACATCCTCCGTTCGGGCAACTGCCACAAGATCGCGCTGTAGGCGCCTCCACCTCTCTTGGCACGAGCAGATCCGTCGAAACTAATGACGTATAGATCCTCATCGCACCCAATGATGAGGATCGGAGCCTGGATCTTGCGTCTTGGCTCCTTTTTTGGGGCAATAGAGATCAATGCCTTATCCACTTCGGATCTAGGGGTAATACTGGCCGCCAATGATCCTAAGATCTCGTCCTCTCCTTTGGCACACTTGGTGATCTCAAGGATCCAGGGCAACAATAGAGCGGCCCACTGTCCCAGACGTCCCTGTAGGGCAGTGGATCTGAAGAGCCACGCCAATGTTGAGTGTCGGGTCAACACGTGGATCGGGCGTCCGACCAGTGCATTGTAGTTAAGATCCAGGATCCTCAGAACGGCTAATACCTCTTTCTCCGTGATGCCATAGTTCATTCGACTTCAGGGTGCGGCTCGCAAACATCACGGGGTAGTAGATCTGGGCGTATTCCTCCATCAATGATCCCGAAATGGCCCAATCGCTAGCATTCACCACAACCGTAGCTCTCCGATTTGGATTAAAGTGCCGTAAGACCGGAGTAGAAGCGATCTTGGTTTTAAGCAAACTGAAGGACCGATGGGCATGGGTCCAACGCGGATCTACCTCAGCGGGATCTGGTGCCTCCAGATCCAAAATCTTTCGGTGGTCGACACCCTGATCTTCCTGCGATCCTTGATCCACGTTCTCTGCTTCCAGCGCTTGTTGGATCGGGGCTTGAGTAGCCTCTCTCATCATCGCACAAAGTCGATTTCTCGCAATACATACAGAACTGACGCGTAGATCGCGTAGTCTTCGATAAATCGGCTATAATAGTTCAGACTTCCCAAAAATAACTGCATAGCTCTGAGTGATCCTGGATATGCTAGATCCGTCAATGCAGACAGATCTTTCGGGTTCGCCTCCAGTCCATTGTGCGAGACCCTATGTCCGAGATATTCCACTTTAGGCATTCCCCAGAAACTCTTAACCACACAGATCGACAAATTCCACATATCACACGCTTCGAGTAAACCTTCGACTCGATCATATAGTTGATCCCAGAATCAGGATGTCATCGATATATGATCTGCGACCAAACACCGATGGCTTGCGTGGATCCACCGGCTCCCCGTCCTCAAACACATCTAAAGTACATCCATGATCTTCAGGCTTCGGGATCCAGGTGAATCCATATATCGCGTTGTCGATCATAAGTTGATAGATCTGGGGTTCATTCTTCAAGCCGAAGAGCATTTGATTCCATTCAATAATCCAAAGGGAGTGATAAAAGCCGAGATCTAACTAACACGATGCATCATTTTCACCTCCCAAAATCTACACGCCATATCCAAAGAGCAGTACCAAAGTGTTGACTATAGATCTTCGAGTAAGTCGTTGATCAAGGGCATTGGGTAGATCATCAGCTGAGTTAAGCTATTAACTAACCGATAATCGATGCACAACCTGATATTCATTCCATTCTTCTTGATGATCACCACGATCGGGGAAGCCCACGGTGATCTAGAATGATTAATCATCTTGGCAGATAATAGACCCTTGATCAAGTCCGCCAGCTTCTCCCTGAACTGTATCCGCAACTTACGACACTTCCGGGCGATTGGCCTTGCTCCTCCGAGATCGACGTCGCATACAAATACCACGGGCGGCCGGCGGGAGAGCATTTCCTTTACCGATCAAGAGATGTCGGAACTTCCAGATCCTTTATCGAAGTCGATCCATTTCTTCTGGGGTCTGATTACCAGATTCACATAGCTGAATGTCGTCGATCTTCATATCTTCCGTCGTCACGGGCACTTCTGGCAGTACCGCTATCTGACCGTCGACACCTTCCGCGTACAGATCACTTCGTTCATGGTAGTATACACATTCATCACAATCTTGATCTAAGTCCCAGGTGAGGTCCAGATCCGACGCGCCTGGTTGATCTTCAACAACAGGTACTGGACCCATGTCCGTTTTTTTGCGACATAGACGCGACGCACTTGTCGTTCAACGGATCACTGGCCACATGTTCCGTCCCAGATTGTACTCATCATTGATGACGGATCTGATCTACTGCATTTCGACGGTGATGTTCCTTGATCCTAACATCCCAAATGTAGTTGATCCTGGTGGGCGACTCCAATTCCATCTCGACCTTCCTCTTCTCGCGCTTCCACTGCACTTATAATTTCTTCCAACAACATATTAGTCGCCCAGGTGTCTGGCGTTATTTGATCGAGATCTTCCAGCGCGTCCTTGACCGTTACGGCATGCGATATACAGTCTCCATCTGGGATACATGGCAGATCCGACTCCTCCCTTGCGACAGGCGCTAGATCCAACGGTCGAATATCCGACGGCATTTTGTCGGACGGCGACCTATCCGACGGCAAGTTATCCGAAAGTAGCAGTCAGGAACATCTTGATCCTGGCTCGCCTCGACCTTCCGACACTTGATCGACGTCGTCTTTGAATCGCACGCGGAGTTTTGTACTCGGATCGTTCCACCGCGGGCTTAAGCGGGACTTCGGACTCCACATCTTCGGATCGAGCATACGTCATGGCCTCTAACGCCAGATTCTGCCACTCCATGTAGCGACGTGACCCGATCGATATGAAACCCGGTAGTCATGGCACATGATCCCCGACCAACCAGATCCCTATCCGTTGGTCTTGATGCAGGGGCAACGCCTCGTCCCCGACGTTGGTGATCGAGATGTACTTCGTCCTCCCTGGCCCATCGGATATTGTGGGCACCCATTGATCCCCGTGTGTGACCCACAGCTTGTCGTGGATCGATGATCTCAGGCGTAATGGCAGCTCCACCAACTCTCCTGCTTGGATCCGAAGGTATTGACCGACATTTACGATCTTCGCCTTGTCGCTAATAAGCTACCGTCTTCTGCTGAGCTGGATCCGGACTTCGGTGGGCAAGCTGATTGATCCATGAGCTAGATCCAGGCGGATCCCGTCTAGGATCATGAAGTCCATACCAAGTATAGTATGCTGGTCAGTCAGATCACCAACCCAGATATCGAAGAAATATACCAATGATCCAGTGAGAGTCACCTTGATCCGGGTTCTTCCTTCGTTCCGGTACACATTGTTACCAATTCCCACGCAGTCCTGAAGTCTGCCTCAGACACGCCACATTCTCAGTTTCCACAGGGTGCTTTGTCTCTATCTTCCAAGGTCATGTCTTTCTTGAAACGACTTGATTTAAGCGGTCGGCCTGACAGTCATCACCCCAACTCCGTCCGGGATCTGAGTCGTTCTCCGTCTACTACCCCAGTCTCGGACGCCAAGCGCTTGATTCCCAGTCCATTTACATGGGAGCGTAGCCACCGACGTCGCCCCGCTCAAGTTGGCGGGAGTTGGCGATGCCGACATTTGCACCACAGTGACCGATGCCGTTGACGAGACTGCCGACGCTGAGTTGACCGACTGCGACACGGTGGACATGGTAGCCTCTCTCTGCACGGAGGTGCCAATCGCAGGAGAATTGCTGACGGCGATGGAGACAGAGGCAGCAATCCTACCATCGTATTTCTGACGTAACACAGCACTCACCGCCCAAGGATTTGCGTGTAGGATGATAATGAACCGTTTCTCTCGATCTGGATGCCTCAATAGTGGGGTAGACACATATTTTGCTTGAGAATTTCAAAGGATTCCCTTGCGGGTTCCAAGCCTCTGTCTATTTGAACTTAATGTCATCTACCAGTTCAGCGTCAATAAATCGTCCGGTGAGATGTCCACCACTTGTTCAATCGGCGACAACCAGCTCAAAGTCCGATTCAAGCCATGCATTACTGTCGTGCCCATTGTGTGTCGGGCCGTTGGGCTGGTCAATGAATCCATGAGCGTTTACGCGTGAGGTAAATGCCACTAAGGCAACGACCGAAGAGATAGCGATTCCAGAAAACGTCGAGTTGAGATTTTTACTTGATAGAGGAGACTGCAAATTTAAAAGTGAGAACGTACGATCATCTGTCAATTCATACAGGACTGCTGCAACTACTGAGGGATCTCCTATGAACTTGTTGTAGTAGTTGAGGCTTCCCAGAAATGATTGCACACCTTTATAAGTAGTTGGGAGCGGCAGATTCTTAACACCCTTTTCACTCTTAGGTTTGGCTCTGATTCCCTCAGTTCCAATTTCATGTGATAAGAACGAAATAGTTCTCTTACCAAACTCGCTTTTCGGAAGGCTCACAGAAATTCCCCAATATCGCAATCGATAGAACAATCGATCTAGGTCGATACACATTTGATCCCAGGTTTCTCCTCCATACGCGATATCATCTATATACGAACTTCGTCGCAGAACAGGCCTAAGTTCAGCGGGTGCGGGAATGTTCCTCCGGAACACTGTCAAATCCTCAGTCAAAGGACATAAATCTCATCTTTCGACCTTATTCTCAGACTTGATTCCCAAAATTCCAAGACTTCAGGATCCACCTTAGCTTCTTCTTGGGTGGAAGACGCACCAGAGACAATTATCCAACATCTGCTGATAGATCAACGGCGCATTCTTGAGACCAAATGGCATTCTATTCCGTTGAAAGTGACCTAGGCGTCGGATTATTTCCATGCCATTTTCGGATGATTTCCATACCAAAAATAAAAAGATGATTCCCATGCCACCGGATGTATTGCATGCAATAATTATTATTGTGATGTAAAACCAACTCTATTCGTGATGTACTTATAGACATGAAAATAATTGTTCACATGTATTATTTTATTAGGAGCCTGCTAAGGAATCGAGAAACCTTCAGCACTGCCTGGACATGTAGTGTACACTATAAATGAAGCTACTTATTTTAGCTTATCATGTGCGAGTTCTCAATTGTGAGACAGCAACCTTATTTCTTCGGTAAGATGTGGTGTCCCATTCGAAAGGAGTAGTTGATGGTGTTCGAAAGTTGCTCCACCGCCATTGTTACCTTCTCTTCTCGTCGTCCCAGTAGCTTGCCCCACTCTTCATAAACGGTGGTTCAATAACCCCCACATAATCACGGTCTTCGATCTCACCGTCCCTGTTTTCCGTTGGCCATGTTCCCAACACGCTCCAGTTGATCACACTAGCAGGTTTCTCGATCAGTCTCGTAGTGAGCGCACCAACGGTATATTCACCTTGTGACAACCCTTCAC